GTGCAGAAACATCCCCTGAGGAATACCCTTGGGGCAAGGGAAGTGTTCCTGAGTGTAAGGGCTACTCTGATTTCTGCTGGGGGCCAGACATAGCTCTCTGTCCTTGTGCAGATGCAATATTATACACTCTGATTACAGTATTGCATACTATTTCTCAAATACAATATATTGCACAGTTTTTAAGAAAGTTAGCTACACGTTTGTTGTCTGTTAGTACTAAGAATTGGTGTGCCAGACAAAGCTGATCAGAGTCTCTTATGTTGAACTCAGGTCAGCATAGAAGAGTGTCAGTGGGGCACCAGGAGCCAGTAACAGCTCCCTGGTTCTGTGCGCCAATCATTGATGGCCAGCATAATGCTGAACATTTAGTGGCTGCTTTTGCCACACTTTATTGTCCCCAAGAAACTGCCAGCTGAGAATTGGTGGAGCACATATGCACTCCACCGCTGCCTCTGACATGCTTTCTTCTGCTCACATCATGTCCCCTGCACTAGGATGGGCAGTTGGCATGAGAGTTGGATATGTTGGCATTGTCAGCAAGGGAATTCTCAGATGGCCAGCTTTAGCCAGCTTACAGCTTCAAAGGATCTGGTTCAGGGCAAGAGAATCTGGGCTACCATCCGTAGAAGAATTGTATATGGAAAAAATCTAGTATGCCATTCTTATTCTTACTTAATATAAGATCTGTAGTGAATGAGGCAAGAGAATGCAGGAACACTAACTATATTCTGCCATTGGCTGGTTCCTTTGAGGTGCAGGATTTTCCCTTCCTGTCCTTAACTCTTATGGTCGGTTACTGTGTGTAGTTGGTACAGTCCACCCAAGGACAGTTTCATTGCTAAATGATATAATCTCAGTATCTAGTGGAGAAAATAAATAAGGAAGTGTTATTTACTCCTTATAACATCATAGAATCATAGAATATCAGGGTTGGAAGGGACCTCAGGAGGTCATCTAGTCCAACCCCCTGCTCAAAGCAGGACAGATCCCCGACTAAATCATCCCAACCAGGGATGAACACATGGACTAGGGGGTCACCAAATGAAATTAATAGGCAGCAGGTTTAAAACAAACAAAAGGAAGTATTTTTTCACACAATGCACAGTCAACCTGTGGAACTCCTTGCCAGAGGATGTTGTGAAGGCCGAGACTATAACAGGGTTAAAAAAAGAACTAGTTAAGTTTAATGGAGGATAGGTCCATCAATGGTTATTAACCAGGATGGGCAGGGATGGTGTCCCTAGCCTCTGTTTGCCAGAAGCTGGGAATGGGCGAGAGGGGATGGATCACTTGGTGATTGCCTGTTCTGTTCATTCTGTCCGGGGCACATGGCACTGGCCACTATCAGAAGACAGAATGTTGGGCTAGATGGACCTTTGGTCTGACGTAGTATGGCTGTCCTTATATTCTTATATGGATAATATAAAAATATTGAAACCAACATAACAACCAGGCAGAACATGAGATAATAGCCTAACTAATACCAAAAAGAAAAGGAGTACTTGTGGCACATTAGAGACTAACCAATTTATTTGAGCATAAGCTTTCGTGAGCTACAGCTCACTTCATCGGATGCATACTGTGGAAAGTGTAGAAGATCTTTTTATATACACACAAAGCATGAAAAAATACCTCCTCCCATCCCACTCTCCTGCTGGTAATAGCTTATCTAAAGTGATCACTCACCTTACAATGTGTATGATAATCAAGTTGGGCCATTTCCAGCACAAATCCAGGTTTTCTCACCCCCCCCCCCCCCCCACACACACACAAACCCACTCTCCTGCTGGTAATAGCTTATCTAAAGTGACCACTCTCCTTACAATGTGTATGATAATCAAGGTGGGCCATTTCCAGCATAAATCCGGGGTTTAACAAGAACGTCCGGGTGCGGGGGGTAGGAAAAAACAAGGGGAAATAGGTTACCTTGCATAATGACTTAGCCACTCCCAGTCTCTATTCAAGCCTAAGTTAATTGTATCAAATTTGCAAATGAATTCCAATTCAACAGTTTCTCGCTGGAGTCTGGATTTAAAGTTTTTTGTTGTAATATCACAACTTTCATGTCTGTAATCGCGTGACCAGAGAGATTGAAGTGTTCTCCGACTGGTTTATGAATGTTATAATTCTTGACATCTGATTTGTGTCCATTTGTTCTTTTACGTAGAGACTGTCCAGTTTGACCAATGTACATGGCAGAAGGGCATTGCTGGCACATGATGGCATATATCACATTGGTGGATGTGCAGGAGAACGAGCCTCTGATAGTGTGGCTGATGTTATTAGGCCCTGTGATGGTGTCCCCTGAATAGATATGTGGGCACAGTTGGCAACAGGCTTTGTAGCAAGGATAGGTTCCTGGGTTAGTGGTTCTGTTGTGTGGTATGTGGTTGCTGGTGTGTTGCTTCAGGTTGGGGGGCTGTCTGTAGGCAAGGACTGGCCTGTCTCCCAAGATTTGTGAGAGTGTTGGGTCATCCTTCAGGATAGGTTGTAGATCCTTAATAATGCGTTGGAGGGGTTTTACTTGGGGGCTGAAGGTGACGGCTAGTAGCGTTCTGTTATTTTCTTTGTTCGGCCTGTCCTGTAGTAGGAGACTTCTGGGAACTCTTCTGGCTCTATCAATCTGTTTCTTCACTTCCGCAGGTGGGTATTGTAGTTGTAAGAATGCTTGATAGAGCTCTTGTAGGTGTTTGTCTCTGTCTGAGGGGTTGGAGCAAATGCGGTTGTATCGCAGAGCTTGGCAGTAGACAATGGATCGACTGGTGTGGTCAGAGTGAAAGCTGGAGGCATGTAGGTAGGAATAGCGGTCAGAAGGTTTCTGGTATAGGGTGGTGTTTATGTGACCATCGTTTATTAGCACTGTAGTGTCCAGGAAGTGGATCTCTTGTGTGGACTGGACCAGGCTAAGGTTGACGGTGGGATGGAAATTGTTGAAATCATGGTGGAATTCCTCAAGGGCTTCTTTTCCATGGGTCCAGATGATGAAGATGTCATCAATATAGCGCAAGTAGAGTAGGGGTGTTAGGGGATGAGAGTTGAGGAAGCGGTGTTCTAAGTCAGCCATAAAAATGTTGGCATACTGTGTGGCCATGCGGGTACCCATAGCAGTGTCGCTGATCTGAAGGTATACATTGTCCCCAAATGTAAAATAGTTATGGGTAAGGACAAAGTCACAAAGTTTAGCCACCAGGTTAGCCGTGACATTATCGGGGATAGTGTTCTTGACGGCTTGAAGTCCATCTTTGTGTGGAACGTTAGTGTAGAGGGCTTCTACATCCATAGTGGCTAGGATGGTGTTATCAGGAAGATCACCGATGGATTGTAGTTTCCTCAGGAAGTCAGTGGTGTCTCAAAGGTAGCTGGGAGTGCTGCTAAGAAAATATAATCTCACTGTCAAAGGTTGCTGAAAAAGAGAAATGAGAAGATAATCAAATAGCTCTATACTCCTCCTAGAATCAGAGGTGTTGTAAGAAGTGCAAAGGAGTTACAATCTGGCCATTGCTGGGGCCAGCTGAGAGTTGGCCTGTGGTGAGGGAGGGTGACTCTCATCTGGCAGAAAGCTGGCATAATCAGTGGCTGCATCAACTACCCCACCACATACCATGGCATTAGTGGTTTGGGGGCACCTTGGGTGGGAGACTGCTGCTCTTCACCAGTTTTCAACTACAGAATAGTCTCTTGGGGGAACGTAGCCAGCTTGACTAAAGTTAGAACAGTTCCACCTGCTCCAAGCCACCCTGTATATCAGGAGTCATAGAATCATAGAATATCAGGGTTGGAAGAGACCTCAGGAGGTCATCTAGTCCAATCCCTTGCTCAAAGCAGGATACTACCACTACCAACTCCTTGTTGGGCTGCTCCCCACTCTCCTACGCTAAGCAGATCATGGTGCAGGGGAGAATCTGGCCCAAACAATCAAAATGCCTGACAAATATCACCTCGCTACCCACTCTGTTTATTCTGCAGTTTACTGCTGCATACTTTAAATAAAGCCCTCAGTTTGGTCATGCAGAACAATGGGCAGAGGATGTAAGGCAACATAATTTAAGGCTGTGATCCACAGAAGTACTTAGGAGTTACAATACCTAACCCGTAGGCTGGCTAGTGCATTGGTTCTCAAACTTATTTGGTGGGGCCTCCCTTCTTAGAATATCCAGCAGCATGGTGGTTAGGCACTGATGTGGGCAACCTGCTCCAAATTCCTGCCCCAAATGAGGCAAAGAGAGATTTGAACTTGGGTCTCCCAGATCCTGCGTGAGCTCCCTAACCAGCGGGGAAGACACACATACATCTGTTGAAAAATTCTTGACTTGCTCACACCTAGTTGTCTTTTTCTTAGGTTGTTGGTGTTCTGGAACGGGCTCCACGGGAAATCGGCACTCCCTTGCCTAGTTTGGGAATCCTACTCTGGGGCCCCTAGGGCTCCAGCTGGAGCTTTGTGAATGCTGCCTGGCAGAAAATTAGGGCATGTTTTCATCAATGCAGCTGTTCCCATATAGTGTGCCTGATGAAGATGCGCTGAGTCGGCAGGAGAGCCCTCTCCCGTCAACGTAATTACTCCACCTCAACGGGAGGCTGAAGCTATGTCGGTGGGAGAGCATCTTTAGTGGTAGTGTAGGCAAGCCCTTAGACACCTTAGTGTTTGGCAGCAACTGCACTGTGTTTTTGAGAATGTCACAGTGATGCCTAAATTGTTCTTAAAGATGCAGAAAGGAGCCTAAATACCTTTGTGTATGTTGCGTTAAATGTTTGAAATTCTAATCATGAGGTAGCTCTGTTATCGCAGAGAGCAAATGAAGAATAAATATTATTTGTTGATAAAAAACTAGTAGGCCTGGATCAGGACTATATCGTTGTCAATGGGCTGATTTTGAAAGTTTTTTATGTGTGAGTCTGACGTTTCAGACCCTCAGCCATAGAAGGACTCCTGGTCTTTGTCCAGCTTCTCATGCATCCCATCTATACTTTTACACATTGTTATTTTTAAATCTTGTAACCAGGTGGCCCATCCAGAAGTTGCTGAGAGAGTAGCTGCCCCAGAAGATGCTCCTTCCTTCTCAGAAGAACGTGGTTTAAAAAAATCTCGAGATGTATTTGGTTTAGATTTCGGCATAACAACAGTTAAACAACAGCCCACTGCAGACTCTGAGGTAACTAGAGTGCACGTGAAAAATGAAATACTGCAAACTAAATTCCACTCCAGTAGAGAGAGAACTAGGCCTTTCCATTTTCTCTTTTCAGCTTTTTCCTTCTTTCTTTGAAAACTAACTTGATCCATTTTGCTTCTCAGTTGTAAACCATGAATTTAGAAGCTTAAAGAGATTTTCTCTGCATATGTTTTAAATCAGTTTAGTGAAACTAGTGCAGACTCCTGCATGGATGCTCTCAATTGAATTTAACCCTGATTTATACTGGTTCACTTTAAATACTTAAGGCATTCACTTCAGCTAAATGATGTAAACTAGGTTTAAATCAAATTAAGTGCCTCCACCTGGAGATTTGGACAGGTTTAACTTCATTGATTGTAACACACATAGATGCTCTACTTTTCAACCCATCGAATTCAAATGTGGGGATTGTTGTATTAATTTAGATGGAATAACTTTAAATAGTATTAAAAAAAGGTCAGGGGTTTGGCGTACAGAGGCTTCAGCCTGCTCGGTCCGATGGCAAACATACTGTTAAACATCCTTTTAACCTTTTATTAAAGTTACAGAAAAGAAGAAAAAACAGTTAAAGCCTTTGACATGTAAAGTATTAAGTAAGGCTTTTATTTTAACAACATCCGCTATTCCCTTTCCCTGGAGACTGTTTTAGCAGGAATCCCCCCACCCCTCCAACCTGCTGCCCCATTTGACAGCCTCAAAGATGGTAATTTGTGATCGCAGGAGGTGTTTGGGATTCAACTGGAGCCAGTAGGGGTTTTGATGTCATCTGGGTCCCTCTCTCTCTGGCCTCTTCTGGTCAGGATACCTCTCAGGATCAGGAAGGTGAAGGCCCAAGGTCCCAGGAAACAATGGGGGTGGCAACCATGATGGCACCTTGCTCTAGTAGCCTCTGTCTGTCCTTCCAATTTGTTCATTCATACTTTTTTCACAACATCTTTTTTTAAGGACCCATAAAGGGAGTGGAATCCCCCCCCTTTCATTATTTTGTCCACCAATTACCTCATATATCTTACAGACCAATTTTGGCTCATTATCTTCTAGCTCTATGTCCCTTTATTTTGAAAAGCATAATTTTAAAACAGTCTTTGAATCTTATTGATTTGGCTTTTTGGTTTAGACTAATTTAGTTATTTTTGTTTCTTTTTTGTGCTTTTTTCCATCAACATTTGTTATTATAGTTTATTATAACATCTTTTGAATGTTTACGTTCTTTTTATAGTTGTCACAATGTGACTGTAATCTCAACTGCGTGGATGGCTCATGGAGAGAGAGGCTATATTGAATGTAGGCAGAACCCAAATCTGTATAGGGCTTTATACATCAAATCAGTACCTTGATCAGCACCGTGGAGAGAATTGGTAACTAGTATAGTCTAGACAGCACATGTGGAGTTTGTTCTGTTCACAAGAAGCACCCAAATGTAAAAGTGTTGCTGCATTTTACAGTAGCTGAATTATGCAGATGATGTTCAGAGTAGCCGCAGCAGGGTATAGCAATAATCCGTCCTGGAGATAAAAAGGCAGAAATGACTGCGGAAGTCTGCATGTGAGAGCAAAAGTCTCAACCAAGAGCTAAAGGAGCTCCAAATTGTAAATCTGATTAACAATAAGCAGGCAAATGACTTTAACAGATGGAGCAAGGATTACAGCAGCCATCTCCTCTAGAGGGTTCTCCTGAACTACCAAGATCAATGTGCTGTGCCTGGGTGGAACTTCAGACACTGTTTCATCCAGATCCCTATCTCGGTCAGGCTCAGGCTCTAAGTGAGGAAGATCACAGTGATTAGATTGAGTGAAAATGAGACCTAGAGCTGACAGGTGCCACCATGCTGATGGTGCTGCAACTTCACTGTCTTCCTCATCAGCCCCCTGTGCACTCTGAATGAGAAGAGTGATAGTAGAACCCTGCAATATCATGTACAGGAGAGCCAGTGAGGTGGGTGAACAGTCAAGAAAACTACGCTCTGGGATTTTCCTAGGGGAAAGATGAAGTCATTCAAATGTGATTCCATCCATCATGGCCAGATCAAGTCCCTGTCCGCATCCTGCTCCAGGCATGCCTTCTGGCCCCAGGCAGGGGGTGGGGGGCATGGACAGGGATAAGGGGGGCTTGACCCTCAAAAATTTGGGGACCACTAAGCAAAAGATATCATTATATTAGCTGGTCAAAGGAGACAGCTGTTACCTTTTGAGACCAACCACTACAGGAGGTCATACACCGCAGTAAGTAGTGGGTTCCCTGTACAGGAGTAGCCCCATTTTACAGGCAGCAAATGTATCTTTTAGACCAGATCTGCACTACAAACCTTTACTGGCTTAGCTGTGTTGGTCAGGATGTGTAGAGGTATGATCTTGGCCTAACAGCTGCACTTTTAAAAGCCCATAGTGTAGACACAGTTATATCAGTGAAACTGCACTGTTGTCTGTGTAGTTTATTTCACTCAGGGCGTGGGCTGGAATAAGCTATACTGCCATAAGCACAGTTTTGCTGATTTCAGCTGTTTTCACAGTAGCAGTGCTTTGCCAGTGTAGTATACCAGCATAGCTACACTAGCAAAGTGCTCCTAGTTAGACCTGGACTTAAAGTTTTATGCTTGTCACACTGTCTGAAGTGGCTTACGAGAAGAGTGAGGGGCGATTTAATAGCAGCCTTCAACTACCTGAAGGGGGGTTCCAAAGAGGATGGAGCTAGGTTCTTTTCAGTGGTGGCAGATGACACAACAAGCAGCAGTGGTTTCAAGTTGCAGTGGAGGAGGTCTAGGTTGGATATTAAGAAAAACTATTTCACTAGAAGGGTGGTGAAACACTGGAATGGGTTTCCTAGGGAGGTGGCAGTATCTCCATCCTTAGAGGTTTTTAAGTCCTGGCTTGACAAAGCCCTGGCTGGGATGATTTAGTAGCGGTTGGTCCTGCTTTGAGCAGAGGCTTGGACTAGATGACCTCCTGAGGTCTCTTCCAACTCTAATCTTCTATGATTCTATGTGAGTGCCTACCTCAGGGCAGACTATCAAAAACAGACCCAGATACCCCAAACTGCTGGTGTGTTCTATAATTAGATTTCACCAAGCCAGTAACAAATGTGAACTTCTGGATTATCATCATGGAGCCCCCCTTCAGGCAGGCTAGTCCCTGGCTCCGCCCCTTCCGCACCCCCCGCTTGCATCCAGAGCCCCGAGACACCCTGCCTCTCCCTCATGGCCACAGCCACGAGTGCCCCCCCCCCCGCCCAAAGGAGCCCCGGGCCAGCCGAAGCCCTGAGCATCCCCTCCAACCTGCTTGGAAGAGCCCTGGGCCAGCCACACCCACGCCTCCCCTCCCCAGACCCTAAGCTGCCATGGGGAAAAGCATCTCACTCTTGTCCGAAGAAGCTTTTCATATGCCCCAGGCAGGTTCTGGGGCAGCTGAGGAGGCGGTATTTGCTACTCAGTTTCCTGGGTTCATCAGTAATCTCTCTCAAGTCTGCTGTCCATGATCATTATAACAGTCTTACCTTAGGTTTCAGAGTAACAGCCGTGTTAGTCTGTCTTCTCAAAAAGAAAAGGAGTACTTGTGGCACCTTAGAGACTAACCAATTTATTTGAGCATGAGCTTTCGTGAGCTACAGCTCACTTCATCGGATGCATACCGTGGAAACTGCAGCAGACTTTATATACACACAGAGAATATGAAACAATACCTCCTCCCACCCCACTGTCCTGCTGGTAATAGCTTATCTAAAGTGATCATCAAGTTGGGCCATTTCCAGCACAAATCCAGGTTTTCTCACCCTCCACCCCCCAACACAAATTCACTCTCCTGCTGGTGATAGCCCATTCAAAGTGACAACTCTCTACACAATGTGCATGATAATCAAGTTGGGCCATTTCCTGCACAAATCCAGGTTCTCTCACCCCCTCACCCCCCTCCCAAAAACCACACACACAAACTCACTATTCTGCTGGTAATAGCTCATCCAAAGTGACCACTCTCCCTACAATGTGCATGATAATCAAGGTGGGCCATTTCCAGCACAAATCCAGGTTTTCTCACCCCCCCACCCCCATACACACACAAACTCACTCTCCTGCTGGTAATAGCTCATCCAAACTGACCACTCTCCAAGTTTAAATCCAAGTTTCCACGGTATGCATCCGATGAAGTGAGCTGTAGCTCACGAAAGCTCATGCTCAAATAAATTGGTTAGTCTCTAAGGTGCCACAAGTACTCCTTTAGTCTTACCTTAGACTCTCCAGGCTATCTTGCCACCCAGACAAACTGGACTTAGTGATAACATTTACACCAAAATCACACCATATGCATGTTGCTTCCAGTCCCAAGAGACCAGTCACTTACCCTAGATCAGTTGGTACCCTAGATCTTACCTCAAAGACATCATCTGTGGCCAATCCTGTAATAAACTATCTAAAGGCTTATTAACTAGGAAAAAGAACTGAGAGTTTTTTACAAGTTAAAGCAAGCTAACATAAACAGACCCATGAGGTAACCCTTGGGGAACTCTGTCTTCAGTTTGGTTTCACATCAACTATTTTTATTTCCCTCTTCCACCATTCAGAGGGATGAGACCAGGCCTTTTGCACGTACTTCTCCATGGGTAGATAGGGCAGTTAACAAAGCTTTTGTCTTATAATGGCTCACTTAAATTTTTGATAGTCCTCCTGGATGGATGGGGGGGACAATTCCCGTGCTTGGGTTCACAAGTTCAGAGCAAACAGTTTCGAACACATATTTTTTTATAGCATGCAATACAGACATTGCAAGTGAGATTAATGCATGCAGCAACTTAGAAGCATTTCCTAGAGTCTAAACACGGAATACATTCTTATAAGACTAAACACCTGTTTTGAGCAAAACTAACATAGAGGTGAACAGGTCTGGTCTCCAGTTATAAATTTGTCAGTTCTTAGTGAATGTCTGCAGTTTGGGCAAGAGCTGGCACCTGGTCACACACTGCTGCTTATCACTGTAGTGTCTGAGCCCAATTCT